CATGTCAGCATCAGCCACCAGGACTGAGCTGGTCTCAGTAAGTTAAGTCACAGCATGTAAAGGACCTGAAGGCAGAAATTACAGACAAAGCCTCCAGCAGGTTGAATGTCCCTTCACAAGAGTCCTAAAGAAATCAACACCAGTAGGCTCTTTCATACAGTAGGTTGTGTAAAACAGCATGCAATCAATATTACAGTAAATAGGGAAACCCTGGGCCATTCCCCCAAACTTTGGAATAAGTCAAGGGTGCCCACTCCAATCAACAAGGTACTCAGAGACTTGGCTGGAACAACAGAACAGGAGAAAGAGGTTTCAGAAGCCCTGATCACGCCCAGGTCGCTTCCTCTGCCTCTTGGTTGTGTCCTAAAATGTCACCTCTCAGCCACTGCTCCAGCGCCACGCCTGCCAGCTGCCCCTGCTCTCCACTAGGGATGTGAACTCTCACCCTCTGGAAATAAACTCACCCAAATAAACTGTCTTTTAAAAATGGTCAGGGTCATGATGTTTTATCACAGTAACGGAAAAGTAACCAAGACAACGGGCTTCTTAACAACAGTCTGGAGAATGTGGGTTTCCACACTCTAGAAAGGCAGTGCATCTTACACCTGGCACCGAATCCATCACAACACATCTAAGACCTTAAAAGGAAAAGGAGGGGAGTGTTGTGGGGACTCATTCCGCCAACAGCCTTGGAGCAGCCAGGGTTATGGTGTGGTCTTGTCTATGTGACAATGGTAAGCTGGAGCACAAGCCTGTTCCTGCTCTCTTGCTCTGCTCATGCTGTGGTCAGGACCTGTGGCAGCATCTGCTTTGCTCTGTGTCTGTGAGTTTGTCTTTGCATTGTACCCCTTAATAAATCGGCTATCATACTTTTGTGGGTTCTCACTTCATCTGGCGCCCAATGTGGGTTAACTTATATGTAGAGCTAGCCAGTAAGGCTTAGAGCGGTTATTTGGGAAGTGGCAGGCAGGTCAAGAAACCTCCAACCACAGGTGGCGCCCAAACGTTTGGCAAGAATTTCCATATAAGACCTGACAAAAGCTTAAAAAGGACTCTAAACACAAAAGAAGAGCTAAGCATGGCTTCCTGGTAGCAGCATTTTATCGGGTGGGCTCTGTCTGCCAGAGGCAAGCAGAGACAGGGCTCTTTAAAAAGATGGCTTCCTGACTCAGCATTAGCAGCAGACCTGTGACAAGCTGGGCAGTGGTGGCTCACATCTTTAATTCCAGAACTCAGGAGGCAGAATCAGGTGGATCTCTGTGAATTCGAGGCCAGCCTGATCTACAGAGCTAGTTTCAGGATGGCCAGAGATACATAAAGAAACCCCATCTCAAAAACAAAAAAGGCCCTGCTACCAAACCCATGGACCGAAAACCGCCCCAGAGTTGGCCGCCATCATGTGACTTGCACCAGTACCTTGCATGAAGCCAGACTCTCAGGAAGTGTAGGGGTGAGGTGCAGCAAGCCACTTATTCCTAGCCACGCCCACTAAGCATGATAAACACTCTCCTAGTCAAAAAAGGATTACAGATACACAATAAGTACATATTCAGTCACAAAAGGCCTCCAAGGAACTCACGGTGCATTTGATAAATGTGCTTGGGCTTGGGAGAGAAAGGATAGAGGATAGACAGAGTCATAGATAAAAATAATAATAATAATAATAATAATTTAATGATAATAAACTAAGTTCCTTAAAGGAAAAGTAGAATAAAAAGTATAAAAATATAAGGGGCCATATAAAGATGGAAAATACACAGAGTTTGGAATGTGAATTTTTTGACTGTTAATGTACTAACTACAGAGAAATATTTGATTGTGGGGGCTGCTAAGCTAAACTAACATAAAGGTATCTTGACTTCAAATTTTGGTTCTAAGGGCATGTTGTTTTAGGAAAGAGTTTCTGCTTTTGTTTCCACAGAAGATGAGAAGTTATGGATTCCTTCCAATCCCATATGGTGTCATTAAATAAGACCACCTGAAATGATGTCCCGGGTGATGCAGCATCCCCGACAGCTTCAGGACTGGGGGCTGAGATGACCAACCACAGAAAATACCCAGGCAGGACTTTCCCCATAAGACCATTGTGCCCAACAATCAGCAGGAAGCAGTCTAGAAAACGACACCCACATTCCCAGATACTGCTTATAAATGTTTGTGTTCCCTTAAAGGGGGTTGGCCACAAATGGTTAATGACCACAGTCGATCTCTTTCCAAAGGGAGTATGAAATAGAAATGAGTAATTTACGTTGGTATGAATTTTGGTTTACTGATGTAAGTTTACAGTCAATCTTGTTATGCCATTATGTATATTTCTACTCTCGTTTAAGGTATTGTGTTTATACAGCTCAATTAAAAATGCAATAATAGTTAAATACAAATTAATAATCATCTATGATAGTCAAACTTGCATTCATGTTAGATTTTCTAGATATGTAGAGATATATTTCAGATGGATAGGTAATCTTCAAACACGTCAAAGACCTACAGAATATGGCATTTAAAATGTTTCAAGAACTTAGACTTTTCTTAAGAGTGAGACCCATCTGCTCCTGGTATCACCAATTACTTCAAGAGGATGATGGGCATCGAAGACGTTCCTTCTGAAATTTGCTTTCAACATGGCCAGACTAGCCATTTGGGCAAGAAACTTCTCTTGCCTGGATTGCTTGAGTGTGTGCTGTATAAACTGGACATGCAGGACCCACAGCAAAGTGACTGCTGAACTTGCCAAAACAAGATGGGTGGTCCTTCAGGGTTCCTGCTTCACAGAAGAAACTGCCAAACATTCTGCAGGACACAGAGGAAAGCAACTGACAAACTTTGCCAGTATAAGGCAGAAGAGATCTTCAAATTTCCTGCTTCATTTTAAAGTCTGCCAGACACTCTAGGCCTATCGGCTGAAGGTTGATGCCCCAACATTACAAAGAACTTTGGGTGACTGTCCAGGAAGCCAGATAGCTCTGTCATTTCTAGAGTTTTGGAAGTTGCATACAATACACTTACTGTTTACTTAGGTAATATTATATCCTTCTGGGGTCTTTGATGGAGCTGAAGTCAGACAGTTACAGTTAAATTTTCCTTAATTATGATAAAAGATAAAGACTTCAGACTCACAAAGCCAGGAGAGATGATAGAACAGTCTCCTTAATTTTGCCAAATCCAAATGAACTAAATATTGTGACTATAATTCTTGCTTGGAAACTGTTTTGTTATATAGAACTTTACTATGCTAAAGTTAAAACCTCCTTTTTTAATTAGACAGGAGATCAGAGATGATGTGGGATGTCCTTCTGTCTGCTGTGAATATTTATTACCTTTATTGGTTGATAAATAAATCTGTTTTGGCCTATGACAGGGAAATATATCTAGGTGGGAAATCCAAACAGAGATAGAGAGAGAAAGAAGGCAGAGTCGAGTAAACAAGCAATATGTGAGGTGACACAGCATGAGCCATTGTGACAGACACAGAACATTAGAAATGGGTTAGTTTATATGTAGAGCTATCCAGTAAGAAGCCTGAGCCATCAGCCAAACAATTATAAATAATATTAAGCCTTAGTGTGGTTATTTGGGAACTGGAATGTGGGACAAGAAGCCTCCAACCACGGGTGGGTTGGAGAGAAAGCTCAAGATCACTAGTTGTTCTTCTGAGAGGGTCTGGGCTCAGTTCCAAGCACCCACGACGGGCTGCCTGTGACCACCTGGAAGTCTAGCTCCAAGGGACCCAGGCCTTCTTCAGACCTGCTCATGCATGTGAACATATATCACATATTCATACAAACACATACATCTTTTTTTATTCTTTAAACTTTAAAAAATTATTTTACTTAATGTATACAGATGTTTTACCTGCAAGTATGTATATATACCAAGTGTGGGCCTGGATGGTCTGGAGCCGGAATTACAGATCATTCTGAGCAGCCGTGTAGGTGCTGGGAACTGAACCTGGGTCTTCTGCAAGAGCAGCCAGTGCTCTTAACCTCTGAGCCACCTCTGCAGCCCTAAATCTTGTGTTTTTGTTTTTTTGTGTGGAAGGGTTGGGTAATTGTTGCCAACTATACATCAGACATAGGATTAATATCTAAACACTATAATGAGATTTTTAAAAATTAAACACTAAAAAATTAAAATCACCCATTCAATAAATGGTATATATAATGAACAACAACAAAAGAGTTCTCAAAAGGAGAAATACAAATGGCTAATAAATAGTTGAAAAGGTATCTGGGGATCCACACAGAAGAGAGAGAGAACCAACTCCAAAAGTTTCCCTTTGACCTCCACACCCGCACTGTGGGCAGGAATGCCAACCCTCATACACAGAAAATAAACAAATGCATTAAAAGAAAGAAAGAAAATATTTGGCACCCTTAGTCACTAGAGAACTGTAAATTAAACCGCTCTGAGATTCCATCTCAGGCCACCAAGAGTAGCTGTCATTAAACAAAAAAAGTGACACAAGCCACAGGGAGGAGGGAAGAGGCCCTACTCATTGTTCAGAGACATAAATGTGTGCAGTAGCTATCCATGGGCATCAGTGTGGTATCCTCAAAACAATGAAAAGCAGAGCTACTGTATGATCAGCCACACTACACTAAATCAGCACCCGTGGATGAGAACTGTATGCACCTGCACAAACAGATGCAACTGTAAATCCTGCAATCAACTAAACACAGAAAAACTAGTACTGATATACATGGAACTTAGGTTTACAACTACGTGTGTAGATGTGTGACTAACATATGCACACGTATGCAGGTCACAGTCTAGAAAGGGAGATGGAGCATAGGTAATAAGAGAGAGCAGAAAAGAGGACTCACTGTGGGAGCGAGGACAGGCCAAGGTAGGGGGTCGGGAACACAGGAAAACAGGTAAAATGACATAGAGGTGTAAAGGCGCCACTTTGCATATTAATCTAAGAAGATAACTTAGAGTTCACTGTCATTAATCAATAAGTGCATCTGTGCATGCAATGGCAAGCAAATATGGCCACGTACCAGAGGCAAGCGCTTCACCGCAGCCAGGTATTGCAGTAGCCCCTTTGCGTGGTAAATCGTCGGGTGTAAATCCGGGTTCGGACTTTGCCACTGTCTGTTCAAATCCTCTCCACTTAAAGAGCAGCGGTGACTACAACCAACAAAGACAGAAAACACAAGTGCCACAGAGTGTCACATACATCTCTGATTCAGCTTTATGACACACCCCAGTTAAGTATTCAAGTACATGCAGACAGCGCTCAACTGAACGCACATAGTATTCACTAAGTAAACACACATCCATCATTTGCTGTATGCAAAATCTCATGTGACACTGTTAACTTACAAAAAGCAAATTGTCAATTCTAGGCTTTTCTTCTGTACTTTATTAAATGTATTATTGGACACATTCTCTATTGACTAACTAGTAACGATCTGCTATACTAACTCTACATGCTGAGTGCATTACTTGTGCTATACATGTGCTATGTGAGCCCTCCATCTGAGAAAGGCAAATATATAAATGATGTAGTCTTGGAAACTGTAAATACACTTTCATCTGTTCATGGGAGCTAATGCCATCAAGCACAACACACTCTCCAGTCACACAATTAACAAAGGAAGCAAAACTGATATCTTAAAGACCGCCTCATGGCTTCCTAAACAATTCAAGGAAGATTTTAGGAAATCATTCTCATGGACTCATAATACTAACACATGCATTTAAAAGTTTATCCTTGATGAATTACTCACCAAAACTTGCTTTTTTCTAGGAAAAAAAAAATCATCAAATCCATTTTCTGAATTAAGTTAAACACTATTAGATCAATGAATTTATATACAGCCACCATTACGATCTATGACACTCCTGTAACTACTGCTTAACTTACTTTCCATTGATGACTCCATCTGGATTTAGCATAGGGACAATTTTAAAAATGTAGGACTCCCGTAAGCTCTGTGCGGTAGGGCTGTTACTCATGAGGTACTCCAGGGTTCCTTTCATGACCCAGCTGGCATTAGTTTCTCCAGGGTGGACCCGAGCAGACAAGAAAATGTAAGGGCGATTCCCTAAAGTGCACATAAAATCTCAATTTAAATGAGCAGCTACTACACGTTTGAATGACATTTCTCTTTGGGGTCCAGAACTCTCCTCAGCTGTGAATTCTGATGTGAATTCAGGAAAAACTCACTATACACATTCAATACACACACACACTACACTGGCCCTACAGAGAAAGCAACAGAAAATGCAAGTAAGCTACCACATGAAGGAACTTGTGATATGAACACACCGTAATAATGTACAGTATTGGAACTACTTGCTTATTTTCTAATGATAATCTAACTTGAAAAACAAAGTTCTTGAATGGAAAACAGTTTTACAAAGAATATCACATGGGAAAGTTTAAAATACAAAATTGTATACATAAACTCATGGAAAAAGAAAATACTAACAATCTAACCCTGTGTGGTTGACAGCACAGAAAGACGGTGTGACACAGACCCTGGCAGAGCAGTCGCTGTGCATTTACAGTCTCCAGACATTAGTCACCGTCACTCACATTGTCTACAAACAATCGCACAACTCACCACCCCTGCAGACATGCACAGCATTTCTTTTTTGTTGTTGCTGCTGATTTGAAACACTTATCAAAAACTGAAATATGTTCTTATTTTTATTACCTCAGCTATAAAATTGAGGTAATTTTTAAATTTTGAATAATGGGAAAACAAGTAGCTATTTAGTGCTAGCTATCCAAATATCTGAACCCTAAAACTCCTGTAGTATTTTTGCTTCAGCGTGATTTCTACAAATAGAACTAAGAAACATGGCTATCAAAGGCGTCCTGAGAGGAAGGACTCTCAAAAGACAACTGAGGCACAGTGGGAGGTCCACAAGTACGAGTAGGACCAAGGCTAGAAGCCAGCCTTCTCATGCATGCCTCGTATTATTTCTATTACAAAGTACACAGAAAGCCAGCCCAAGGGAGGGCGCTGGGCATGTTGAGTGAAGAAGACAGACTTACTGAACTGACAGATATGCTCATAGTAATTGGACTCTGGCATTGCTGTGATGGTCACCAGGGGACAGCTGTTTCCAGATAAGGTCTCACACAGCACGTCCTTTCGGAAATAAATCTGCTGAGGATTGTGTGATGATTCCAACTTTTGAAGATGCATCTTGACAAAAGTTTAAAAGCAAAGTATACAATCATTTCAAAACTCATCATCTAGATACCCACAGAACCAGAGTAAATGATTCCTAAATTCTCATCTAAAACCCTCAATGCCAAATAAAACACAAGCAGCAACCCAGGCAGGACAGGCGTGAGGTACACCGCACAGGGGCAGGCTTCCCTCAGTGGAATCAATATTCGAAATGAGCTCACACAAGCTCAGCTCAAGCTTTGCTGCCAATTAGAGCCGAGAAAAAGCATTTGGTTTGCAAAGTACTTAGAATGCTGGAATTATAACTAAAGTCACATGATAGCAAGCTAAAATTACATAACACACATTATGAACAATTCCTTTTGATTTCAAGATTAGTAATATATATGCAATAATAAATATATATGTATGGATAGACACATATAATATGGGTAAATATATACATACATATATATTACTACTTTTCTAGGATGAAGAACCTTAAAACAGAGCTAACTCAATGTCCATGCTATGAGACCTTCACCTCTACTAAAACACAGCAAGGCTCAGCTGGTGTCCTCAGCACTCCATCTCTGCTGGAGTCCCACTGCATGCTGGGACTGACTTTCAGTCCTGTCCTCCAGCTTCCTTTCTGTATCTGATCATCCCTCAGTACCCTTGCCATTAGAACAGAGACTCTGTTGTGAGGATAAAGGTGCTAGTGTATTATTTATGACTTGTTAAAGCTTGTCTGAGGATTCAGAAAGCAAAGTCATCTTCAAACCATAGAGATCTGGCAGTTGTGATAGACACATTTAATTCCAGCAGTCAGAAGTGGTAGTGCACCTTTAATCCTAGGACTCAGGATTAAGAGGTGGATGGATCTCTGTGAGTTCAAGGCCACCCAGGTCTACACCGGATTGATTCAGTCCTAAAGAGAAACAGCTCACACAAAGTTCTCAGCACCTGGGACCACACGCCTTCAATCCCAGCACTGGAGAGTATAAAAGGCAGGAGCAGGGGCTTTAGTAGTCAGTATCAGGATTCATTCTCCAGCTATGTCAAGGACAGGAAGACACTGAGGTCTTGGGATTCTGTAGCCACACTGAGGAGAGCATTGCTGTCAGGACTTCAGTCTGAGGTTTGGTAGAGACAGGACAGCCCTTTCAGTCTGAGGTGGAGTGAGAGCCAGTGACCAGCTGCTTTGCTTTTCTGATCTTCCACTTGAAGCTTGAACCCCAATATCAGTCTCTGGGTCTTTTATTTGTCATGGAACATTTGGTGCCCAATGTGGGGGGCATGAACCCATGCCCCTAGGATTAACAGTCCAATGCTCTACTGACTAAGCTAGCAGATAAGTCTGCTACCGCTGGCTATTTGCTCACTTGATTTAGCTTTAGTTTTGTTGTAGAATGAAGGCATTTGGCAATCTCACAGCTTATACCCAGGCTCTAAGAATGGGAGCCTCGGGTCACCAGATCACAGAACAGACCTAGTTCTTGTGCCAGAAAACTAATTTCCCTGCAGGAAATTCAAAGTGTGGCCATACTTTCTACTGCTACATTTTTCTACAAGATTTAGTGCTTTTAGTTAAACTGAAAGTATCCATTCCCACACATGATAAGTGAAGTACATAGATTTTACGTTGTCATCCTCCTCTTCTGGTTTTTCAAGACAGGGCTTCTTTGTGTAACAGTCCTGGCTGTTCTGGAACTCACTTAGTAGACTAGGCTGGCCTCGAACTCACAGAGTTCTGCCTGCCTGATTCCTGAGTGCTGGGATTAAAGGCGTGCACCACCAACTCCTGGCTCTTCCTACTTCTAGTTACAGTTATTTTTCATTTGTGGAAGCATGGGGGTGGGGAAGTGTGCACATGCATGCAGACGTGCTCACCATGGGTGTCAGGTGTGCGGTGCTACAGATCCAAACCTGGCACTTTACCCTCTGGACCATCCCCAGGCTTCCACAGTTACTGCATCATCACATTTCTACCTGAACCTTTCCTGTACTACGAAGTGACATTCATAGTTTACAATCAGTGTCTCTCACCTGCAGAGTTGAGTATGTATATGGATAGTGATAGGCAAAGTAGCAAACGTCATCCTTATGTGGAAAGTTGACGGTGAATGTGATGGTGTAGTAGGACTTCCCCTTCTGTCCCCCTGCAGCAACTGAGCTTCTGGAGAAGTGATTCCTGCAATGCAAAGCACAGAGCTCTTTATCTGCTATGCAGAGACGTTGCTTTTCCTCTGCTGCAGTCTCAGGTTGTAGTCCACCATGCTGTGGCCACACAGCCCGGAGCAAAGTGTCAGGCAGGCGAGAGGAGCAGCCCATCCACAAGCACCAGGCAGAGCAGAGTACACTGGGGAAGGTGTGGGCTTTTGTGCCCAGTGCCACACCCCCAACAAGGCCACACCTAACCCTTCCCTAACAGTTCCACCAACTCAAGACCAAGTGTTCAAACATAGGAGCCTTCAGGGCCACGGTCCTCCAAAGCCTCACGAGCACACCGAGAAGGCCAAGGCCGTCCATCTATGCCACCTGGCAGTACCGCTCTCTTCTCTAGACTGAGCACAGCACATGACCCGCACGCCCTGCACGTCAGGGACTCCCCTTCTTCTTTAGATCTTGACATTGCTGGTCCATGGCGGCTCCCTCCATCAGGTAACATGGTGGCGGAGGGTCACGTGCACCGTACACGGCACTGGCACTTCACCATACCAGGGCAAACAGCCAGGGAAGAGGCTGCTGCCCATGTTTCCTCATGCGCCGTGGAGAGCTTCCGCAGCATCACAGCTGCAGTGGTCTTGCCAAACATAAACCCAAACTTGACTAAGCGCTTATATCTAATTGACAAGGAATCAGTAAGATGAATTTGTTAGTAGCAAAGATGCAATCAGCATGACAAACATAAAACTCAGATGTGAGAAACAAGCCGGTTTAACAGGCACTGAGAGAAAAGGGGACCCAGCTGATAACAACGTTTAAGAAACACGGTAACGGGGATTACATGTGATGTATGATGAGCAAGGGAGGTCAGCAGCAGCCATCCGACATTTCCAACATGGAATGCACTGAAGGGCATGCTTCCTAATGACTGCTAGCAGTCCTAGAAACAAATCACTTTCCAGCCTTTTATATTTAAAAATGTATTGTGTGATCTTTCATCAGCTCTAGAGGAGGAGAAAATAATTACCAAGCAACACTCATATGGCACCTGGGGCAATCTGAAAACTGACTAGATTACATCAAGGGCTTCCCTTAATGTTTGTGATGTACGATAACGGCAAGGTGGTTAGATGGTCTTAAGGGGTCTTTAGTTTTAATGCTATCTGACAATTGTTTTTAAAATCTGGCATGGGGGCCCTCAAGATGGCTCACCAGATGAAGGTACCTGCTGTCAAAGCTGATGACACAAATTCAGTACTCAGAACCACATCTTAAAAGAAAAGAACCAAATCCCAAAAGCTGTCATTTGGCCTCCACACTCAAGCAGTGGCAAGTATACCCACCCTCCAACACCCACCCCACAATGTGAACAAAGGAACAGAGAGGAACTTTTATAAAGCAACATGGAAGCAGGGGTTCTGTAATGCACAAACAGCACTGACCACATGATGGGAACTGTTCAAGGTGGGCTGTGGCACACGGGATATCATCCCGCTTGTGATTTCTAAGTTTTATGGTCTTTAAGTATTGCTGACATTGGCATTTAAAGATACTCATAAACTTAATTTCTAGAGCTCTAAAACTCTTGAAAAAACAGGGCTTATAAGTCATAAATTTATTCCCACACTTACATACTCACACTAGTCTTCATTAAGTCCATCTCTGTGTCGTGAGTGGACAGACAATGGCAAGTGCTAAGAGCTAAGGAACACACAAAACAGGCCCAAGAAGGAGCCTGACAGCTGTTTCTTCCCTGAGGTGACAGTAGTTCCATGGAAGTTACGGGCTACAAACAAACATGCACACATGTTGACAAAACACGACTATGTTCTATTCATAGCTAATACAATAGTCTCGAGTCCTCACTGATGAGAGGCTTCTGGAAATCAACCCCAACAATGCATATAACACAAAAAGTAGTTAAGCAATGAATGCTAACTGTACTGAATTCCAGTTTAACCTGGAAGCAGCCAGAGAAAAAGCAAAAATTAAACAAAACAAAAACTCCTGTTATCACTAATACAGAACAGAAAAACTTAATCATGGTCTGATCACACATACTGCATGTGAAAGGACTTGAAGTGTAGAGAAGCATGGATGTTTTAATATTTAATAGCCTGAGAAAGACTTCTGAAACCTTGCCCACCACTGCCCAGATCAGTTCCTCTTTCACTCCAATGTCACCGAACAGAAAGAGTGGTCCGGGAGCGCCATCGTCCCAACTGTCACTGAAACGCTACAGTCATTGGAAGGTAAAGATCAGGACACACACTTCCTTTGTTTCAACTTATCATGTGACAATCATGGATGAGTAGAACCCCACTGAGATGAAGCCATTAAGCCATTAAGTACAAATTCTACAAGTCATCATCTTCTGACAAAGCTACTTTGGACAAGACATCAGTGCTAGCTAAAGACAACATTAAAAGTCAAAATCCACTTTATGGAAAACTCAAGACTAACAAGACAAAAACCAGAATCCAAGAGAGATAAAAACCAAGGCCAAAATTATGAGCATACAAAACTTCATGTGACTGATAGGAAATGATCACTAAAAACCAGAATGTTCAATGTTTACTTTAGATTCAGAGGTTTTCAAAGCTGAGCACACCTTCCCCCTGCTTAGCACTGATGTTCCAAGAGCAGGCCACAGGGAACTGGAATCGCACATAAACAGCCAGTGGGCTCCAGTTAAACAGGGTTAGCTATCAGGCAGCTCATAACAAAGGGTATCCTCTAGGAGCATGAAGAGGGTATTCTATTAGTAAGCAAACAGGTGAAGGCAGAATCCATGCTGTGAAAGGGCAAATCTGTGCCCATTTGAGAGGCTGGACAGAACTGCAAATACTTATGTAGTTTCAACTTTAAAAGTTTAATCTGAAAGTATGTGTGCATTAGTAAAATATTTCTGAAAAGACATCAGCAAACTGTAACCATGGGCCCTTCTACCAAGGAAAGGTGTGACTTACTTACAAGGCAGCCTTCCCACCTGTGAAGCAGTAGCACACACCTTCTAGCTTTCCAAACAACAGAGCGCACAGAAACGCCACAGAGTCCTCTCTGGCGTCCTGATTCTGACAATCAAGGGACCACAAGGAGACCGGCTGAGTGATAAAGGTTCCACAAACTGCTGACAACTACATGCAGACAGGAATCATGTGTTTTTAATGTATTTTTATAGGAAATAAAATAAGCATTATAAAATATAGTGGAGGTTACCTGGAAGATGTTACAAATAAAACTGGAGTAAAACGAGAAGCAATATTTTAAGAATTCTAGATTGTTTAAAAGCAAGGCTGCAGTCACAAATACCATACACACCACCTACCTACCCTTCCACACAAGCTCAGGGGCCACTTCAGAAGAGAGGGGAGAAAAGATTCTATAGCTGGAGGGCAGGGAGGACCAGCCTGCCTGAAGCAGTGGCTTCTGGGCAAAAGGGAACTGCTGAGCTAGGAACCCACAGCAGCTGAGGCTGCCTGCACACGACCACGGCAGTCCACGTGGTTAACGAGCCTCCATGACAGTCAGGATTTGGGCAGGTACCTGATGGCTTCTGGAGGAGAGAGCCGGTTTTCTCTAAGGGTGTGGCCCTGGTAGGTCAATCATGCTCCAGTGGATGCCCCCACACACAGGTACATGGGCAGCACAAGCTGGACTCCATGGGTTATTTTTAAAAGAGGAGGAAGAGGAAAAAGAAGAGGAGGGAAGGGAGGAAGAGTCAAAGTTGGGGCTTTAGGGAGACAGGACTGGGGGTTGAGAGGGGTTCGAGGAAGGGGTGGAGGTTGACTAAGTGCCCAAAGAGTTCATAAAAATTAGGGTTACTATGACCAAAGTAGCTTGGGGAAGACGGGGTCTATTTGGCTCACACATCCACATCACTCTTCATCATGGAAGGAAATCAGGGCAGGAACCTGGAGGCAGGAGCTGATGCAGAAGCCATGGAGGATGCTGCTCATTGGCTTGATCCTCAGGGTGTTCTCAGACTTCTTTCTCATAGAACCCAGGACCATCAGCTAAGGGACAGCCATGCCCAAATGGACACTGCCCTCCCCCACTGATCACTAACTAAGAAAATGCTCTACAGGCTTGCCTAGTCTTGTGGAGGCATCTTCTCAACTGAGGCTCTCCCTTTTCCAGTGACTTTAGCTTGTGTCTAGTTGACATAAAACCAGCCAGCACACACACACTAAGTCCGTTTTCCTTGTTAAACTGAGCCTCTGTAAGAATACTTACTTGTAGTAGCAAATGTCAGTGCCCATGCGAATCCACCACGGCCTGGCATTGAGAGCTTCCTGAACTGAATACATAAGTGGCTGCATACCTTTGGAAGAAGAGGAAAGGAAAGGAAATATTCTTTTCAGAATTGTTGGTGTAAAAATGAATCTTGCATTTCTAGAAGGCACCAAAAATTCAGGAAGGCTGAGATGTAGTGCATTTTATTATTTTAGGATGTATTAAGGAAATCTAAGAGATCCCTTAAGTTATAATTTAATCAGTAATAACCCCTTTTACATTTTAACTAAAATGGAATAACTTTCGAGTGAGTAGATACCAATTTTTTGTGTTAAATTGTATGTATTCAATCAGCCAAAGATAATTTACTCCTTGTAAAAAGTAAAGTAGTCAGGAGATGCCCTAAAGATAAAACTTGCCACCCAAATGTGAGGCTCTGGGCTCCGGTCCCCAGTACCCACCTAGAAGCTGGATGCAGTATGGCATGTCTGTAACCCAGAGCTCATCCAGCCAGGCTGGCTGAGGCAGCTGCCCACAACAAAGACCCTGCCTTAAGCAACGATAAAAACTAGAGCATGCAACCATCCTAACTCCATGCAGGCATCATGGTATACATGCGCACACACACTCATGTGTGCACACACACGTACACGCACGCACACGCACGCACGCACGCACATGCACACATGCTCACACACATGCACACACACGCTCACATGCACGCACGCTCACACGCACACTGGGCAATCACTCCCCTACTTCTCTATATGAAGTAAGAAACGCCAAAACTTCCATGCTTGTTTTCATTCTTTCCCCGTTTACGTGTTAGCACAGGGTGGTGTCCTGGCTACTTTTATGACAATTTGATACAAGCTAGAGTCCTCTGAGAGGAGGAACCTCACTTTAGAAGATGCCTCCATAAGAATGTGCTATATATAGTGCATTTCTTAATCAGTGATTGACGGGGAGGGCCCAGCCCATGGTGGTGGTGTCACCTCTGGGCAGCTGGTCCTGGGCTCTGTAAGAAAGCAGGCTGAGCAAACCAGTAAGCAGCACCTTCCACGGCCTCTGCACCAGCTCCTGCCTGCAGGTTCCTGTCCAGCCTTCCTTCAGTGATGAACAGTGATGTGGAGTGTGGGCTGAATAAACTGTTTCCTACTAGGTTTTGTTTTGTTTTGTTTTCTGGCTGCAGTGTTTCACCACAGCAACAGAAACTCTAACACAGGCAAGAACTGGTCAGATACACAAATTTACTCTCTTGGGTATTCTGAGAAGCGCTTTAGAGCTCTATTACTGGGCCAGACACAGTGGTGCCTTCTTTAACCTAGCAATTCTGTACCCCAGCCTAGTATAGTCTACACAGTGAGCTCTTACCTCCCCTCCCCAAAATAAAAACCGCAAAATCAGCTTATCTCACTCGCTAACCCAGTACACTAGACTTTTAAAGTGAAACTGAATTAAATTCATGTGTTAATTTTAGAAATACTGACAGCCTTTACTGAGATCTAGTTTGACTTTCAATTCCACTTTCAGTACATAATTATTTTCCTGGGTAGGAAAATAAATTTATTTGCATTTTATAAGTTTTTTTTCCCCTTCCCTTTCTACCTGTCTCTTTCCAAGCTGTTTGTTGCTCACCTGACACACACACTTACGCACAGCAGCCATGCTGCCCCTGGATCTCTGGGGTGAGCAGCCCTACTGTGTGCTCCTCTCTATGCAGCACCCTCATATGGAAGTTAGTTACTTTCCATTTTTATTGCATTTCCGGAAATCACAACCTCAGACACTGATGGCGAATACACTGATAAGAACAATTGTTTTCCCATAATTTTAATCAAAATGTTATATACTACGCAATCCAATATTGGCCAAAGTTCTCAAATCAGTTCTATCATGTATAATACAAGAGATAGTGGATAATCTCTATGTGCCAGACACTGCTGTTTTTATATACATGAAAACAGTCACTGTACCCTCCCAATCACCAGCCCTAGACGGTGAGCGCTGGTAACCCCACACTTGAATAATTTCACAACAGTCAGAACTGTCTCGCTCAGGACCTTACGGCCCTGACAGAATAATGTGCCCCTCACAACACTGACAGATGGGCACACTTCGTGCTGAAGACTCCTTACACTAAGCTAGTTCTGAGAAATTACTCTTCTTTTAGCAGTAACTTGTTAAATTGGCTATTATTTAGATCCTGCACCTAGATTCTGTTTTTTTTTCTTTTCTTAGATTTATTATTTTTAATTATGTTTATATGCATTGGTAACTGGGGGGGAGGGGACAGAGGTGTAGGGTTTCCTGGAGTTGAAATCATAGCCAGTTGTGAGCCACCTGACATGGATGGTAACAATCCAACCACATTCTTCTGTAAATGCAGTTAAGTGCTCTTAACCACTGAGCCATGTCCCCAGCCCTTAAGTTGGCCCTTTTAAAAATGAAGTATAGAGACCACACTAGGTTCAGAAAAGTAACCCTAAAAACCATTTTATTTTTCTAAAATCATTTGCTAAAATAAACAACAAAAGTATAATTTAGTTTTATAGGGTTAAAAACCTAATATATTCTTCTTTCCCCTTCTTATTTGTTTGGTTGGTTTCTTAAAGCAGGAGCCAAGTTGGTTTAAATTCACTACATAGCTGAAGCTGGCCTTGAACTCCTGACTGTTCTACTTTCTACTTCCCAGATGCTGAGATGTTGGAATGCACCTCTATGCTTAGCTTTCAACTTTTCAGTGGTTTATAGCCTTGTTTCAATTTCTCCTTTGGGAGTCTGCAGAGATGGCTCTGCAGTTAAGAGCACTGACTGCTCTTCTCAAGGACCCAGGTTTGATTCTCAACATCCACATGGTGGCTGACAACCACCTGTAACTCTAGTTCCAGGGGATCCAGCTCCTCCTTCTGACCAGCAGAACCTGGCATGCGTTTTATACACACACACACACACACACACACACACACACACACACACAGTCACACAGTCAAGATACCCAAACACATATAATTTTTAAAATCTTTTAAATCTACTTTGGGGAACTGGTTAGATGGCTCAGTGGGAAAGAGAATTTTACAAAAGCATGAGGACCTGAGTTCAAATCCCCAGAAGACATATAAAAAGCAGAGTATGGGTAAATGTGTGCCTATAACCCCAGCAATGAATGGGACACAGAGGGGCCTCCTTAAGGCTTACTATTGGCCAGCCTAGCTCCAGGTTCAGCAAGAATCCCGTCTCAGCTGATCTGAACAAGGAGGAGCTAACGGGCCCCCAGACTGATAGCTGGGAATCCAGCATTGGACTGACTCAGACCCCCTGAACATGGGTCTCAGTTAGAAGGCCTGGGCAGTCTAAGGGGCCTCAGACAGTGGAACCAGGATGTATTCCTGATGCACAAAAGGACTTTGGGAGCACATTCCCCATGGAGGGATACTCCCTTAACCTAGAGGCAGGAGGGAGGGCCTAGTCCCTACTCCAAATGACTCCACAGATTTTGATGACTCTTCCTGGAAGGCATCACCCTACATGTGGAGTGGGGGGCAGGGAATGGGATGGGAGGGGAGGGTGTTGGGGGGCATGGGAGGGATGAGAAGGAGAGGGAACTGGGATTGATATGTGAAATAAGAAAAAAAAAAGGAAATAATCTCATCTCAAGGGATAAAGCAGAGAGTGATAGAGTCAAGTGACAGCCTTCTCCTCTAACCTCTGCACCTACCCACCCACTCCATACACCACACACACACACACACACACATACACATACACACACACACTCCATACACCACACACACACACACTCCATACACCACACACACACGCACACCACACACACATACACATACACACACATACAACACATACACACCACACACACACACACACAGACACTCCATACACCACACACACACACACCACATACACATACCACACACCCATACTACACACATACAACACATATACACATAATACACACAGACACTCCATACACCACACACACATAAACACCATACACACAGACACTCCATACACCACACACACACACCACATACACATACCACACACCCATACAACACACATATAATACATACACACACCATACACACACACCCCATATACCACACACACACACACACGCACCACATACACAAATCATATACACACACTTCTACTTTTTTCTAAACACTGTACTTCTATGTTTTGCTTTGTTTTTGTCTAAATATTTTCAATATCTGTGATGGGGAATGTTCTTCTGCATATGTTTCTCTAATTGGTTAATGAAAACACTGATTGGCTGACTGGCCAGACAGGAAGTGACATAGCTGGGCAGAATCAGGATATAAGCAGGGACAAACAGGAAATCATTCTCTTCTCTAGACAGACGCTTAGCAGTCACCATGTGAGCCACCAAAGGAGTTAGAGGTCCGGACCCTTCTCTGGTAAGATAGGATCCCATTGAAACACTTAGATTAATGGAAATGGGTTAACACTTAAGACAGAGTTAGCCTACAGGAAGTCCTAGTCATTGGCCAACAGTTTAGTCATTATTATAGCGTCCATTCGTGTGTTCATTTCGGGCTGAAGCAGGGGCAGGGCCTACCCAGGACAGAAAAACCTCACGTTACACATTTGTTTTCATTAATTCTCTTCCTTTCCTCTATTTCTTTTTCCAGGTTCTTATACTGGATTCTTACTTTCAGTGACTTCTTATTTCAGAAGATACAACCTCTTGGGTTTACAAAGATAATGCTGGTCTAGCTATACTCCCTAATTCTGAGTCAGCTAGTCTTCTACTAAAATTAAGTGTATTATATAAAGGGGCATTCATTAATCACTAGCAATGAGTCTAGCTCTACACAAGAACTCAAATTTTTAATTCAAATTTCAATTTCAATAGCCTCATATGGCTGGTAGCTACCATGCTTAAGAGATAGTCCTAAATATTTTGTAACATCAGCTTCAAATTTCTTTTTTAGAAAGGTATATTTAAGAATAACGATTATATGATTTCCAAAAGCTGTTTTTTTTTTCACCTGTCACTTCTTTGTTGATCTCTAACAATAGTTTCGATCACAATAAATCTGCAGC